ATTAACAAGAATCTGCTGACTTATTCATTCATTAAAAACCATAATGTTATCTTACGTTGGAGAACAATTTACGAGATGATGTTAAGTATAAAAACGTGCAATTCTAATGATTGTCGCAGGTCGATGTCTCGCGCGAACCCGCACGCATCTGCACAGCGTATCCGCGGAAAGTAAAAGCGAACGCTGTACAGAGTCAATGCACTGATCTAATGTAAACATTGATTATTACTTATTAGAATTACTAACAAAATGATATTATTTAATTTATACGAGTCGATCATAGATTAGTTTTTCACAGATGTAACGAAATATTAATTTAAACTTAAAACTAGGTAAAAGATTGAGCTAAAATATAGCAGAGTTAAACTGAAAAAGTGAACTTGAATTATTTGGCTTCAAATGGGCATATTATGCTTCTGATTTGTACTGCAATAAAATAACTTTTATTTAACTGACATTTGATTTGAGTAATTATTATACTTTGATGTAACTTACATGATTGTCGATGATCTGCTCTGATGAGCCAATCTCTCTGCCATGAACGGTAGCAACGAGCAGCACTTGTAGCACCACCAATCTCCATCGGCACATGGTCGCGAGGAAACCTATCAAGTTGTCTTTCCTACGGCACTATTTATTTGTCCGTCATCCCGCGACTGCCGCGGTCACTATTGTCGAATTCGTCAGCCAGCTGATGGCATTTCGCAAACTGCCGGCCGACTAGCGGCCGCGGCCGAGCGGTATCTGACTCGTAGCGAAGACTTCGACCACCACCACACACTTTCACCAGAAAAAAAAACCTATACGGATCCCTCCAGCCCCACTACAAAGTAAATGTTGCAACACTTACATCGCCACTGATATATTATCAATTTGACAATGGCTTTATGTTAAGAGTCAAATGTTTTATTGTGATGCATTCTTGTTATGTTCCAATTCTTAGATTAAAAATTATTACACAAGCTCTTTGTTTCGAGTGTTTATAGAAAAAAAAAACAGATTTTTACACTACTTTTGAATTGTATCACAAAATTAAAGACATGATATTCTAATTTTTAAGTAACTGTGATCGTTGTTACATTTTGTATATTCGGTCAATAAAACATAGAACTTACTTTATAAAACAGCGTGCATGCATTCAGGATATTAATCTTTACGTATCGCGTTTCGTGTTGATTTTTAAACAATTATTATTTTATCGTACATATAACGAATTGTTAAATAATTACTTAACTGCTATTTATTACAGGGCTTTCATGACTAATTTATCTTTAAACTGCCACCGCTGTGATGGATATTCTTTTTAATTTATTTTATACAACTTTTGTGCAAATTTGTATATTTTTATTCATAAAACCTTCTGTTGCTATTTAATAAAAGATTAGTAATTTTGCCAATCCTGGAAACCAGTTCTTATGATGTTAGGGAAAAACGATTTGAAAGCTTTGGCTATTCAAATACGTTACAAGCTTTTAATTTTTATAAGTAAACATTTAATTCGTTTATGTTGTGACATTTTGTTATGTAACATGAAACATGCGAAGGACAGAGAAGCGAACGTATCTGGAAATCACCGGATTCTCCATACTGATAAAATGAAAGTGAAATCATGAGAGCGCCGTGCAACGTTTCCGCAAGTCGCGGCGCCCGTTCGGCCCCGACGTGCCGTTTATTATCAACTTCAATATCGTTATGATGGGATGCATCTTTCATAACTACATCCGTTTCCATATATTGTGCACGAATGGATTTTTAATGTTGTCAAATCTGTCAAAATAAATACACGCGAATACAAAAGCCAAAACACGCCTTACCTGCAAGGCTTTTTGTAGACTTTATTTACATGCTGACCCCTATTTTATCTATATGAATACATTACTGTGAAATTTTTCTTATTCTCCATAAGATCCTTCACTCCATTAGCTCACTTACTGATTTATATCTACTTAATTAGGAAACAATCTTTACTTCACTGCTATCGGGTTGATATTTTTTTATTTGGAAGAATAAAGGTTGGATGGAACTCTTAGTACTTTGTGCCAGATATTTCTACATCTCACGCACTTAGTAAAATGCAACTCTTTGAGGTGCAGTTAGTACCTTCGCTTTCCCTTTCGATCAGCCCCTTCATGCAAATCATACTTAGGTTATTGCGATGAATATTTCTGCCTACCATAGGAAATGCATGCGAACAATTAAACGGCCCGATTTAGAGCTCGTCTTATTATAATAATAATGCGGTTATAAAATTTTACTCGTTATTATCAAACGCCGCAATGTAAAAAGGTTTACGTAAATAAAGCGCCTGATACATTTTTCCATCTTTACATCGTAGGCATATTTTAGCTCTTTTTATTTCTTAAGCGACACGATACATCTTTCAGCAATCTCGAGATCTATCTTGTGATAATCCAATTTTTAACTTAAAATATGATCAAGCAATCATTTGATTTCAGTACTGATACTTTTTGAATATGAACTTCGAAGATATATGGATATTTCGATGCTGACAACGATTTTTTCGCTACAACCATTCTCATCTCTCTTCATAGTTATCAATTTTTCATCATCTTATTACTTACATATGGAGACAACGAATATGCGCCCTGGACCTTTAAAGCACATTTAAAGCTTTATAAATATGTATCCGTGATCAAATAATTATTTTATTGCGCAAAGTACAAGGCACTACAAGAAAAAAAATAGAAAGCCACGGTACATATTTTTATACAAATTCGTTCTTTTTCTCCACCGCCATTATAAACCTATTTATGCAGAAAAAGAGTAGAGCTGAATCTCCACATTATAACTGTTAAATCGTGACTAACAAAATCAACTACGCAACTGTAACGGTATAGTGGTTCCGGTTTCATTTTTTTATGTATTTCTAAAAATGTGTCGCCAATATAAATCTTAAGTGTTGTGAAGTCCAAATTATAATCGGCTAACACGTACTGATATCAAATTATCTAGACAAGGGGTCGTTCACATTACTACCAGCCTTTGTCAACGACTACGTCCGCGCGGAATTACAAAAACAATAATCTAGTGATAATGTAGCTTTCTAATGATTTTTTTTAAATAGGTCCAATAGTTTTTGTTTGTTATATAAAATCTTCCCTCTTGCATATAGATTTTCGGTTTAGATTACTATATACCTCACTTAGCTCTTAATATTTGGCTTTAAAGTACCGTTATAAAGGCATGGGAAGTCAATAAATGGAATGGGGTCTTAGCATTCAGTACTTAGGAACTACTATCGAATCATCAAACTATTTCCCTATTCCGTTTACAAAAACGAATCCAACACAGATTTTTGCAGTAGTACAAATTATATCGCAGTTATAATTCTGTAGAGATTAAATGGGAATAAAAAATAAAAACCCTCATAATTTTAGAAAATATTTTATTTAAATAAATATGAGATAAATACCTTATTATTAAACTTACCTGCAGCTGAAAGTTACTTGGCAATCGAGTTAAACTCCAGTCACCACGATACCATCATGAAAATAAATTGAAAACATATTAGAACCAAACAAAATAAAAACAGGAAAAGGTTGGAAATGTAAATAAATGTAGGTAAAACTTTAGAAATATCTTCTCTACAGCAGTGACACTTGTACTGACAAATACTTCGCACTAAAACTTTATTTTACTTACGAGAAGATTATATTTTTCTAAATCTGTGTGGAAACTTGTATTTTTATACCTTTTTCTTATTTAGTCCGTGACAGTTTCTAAGGAATATGCAACATATCAGAAACTGAACTACATCTGAAATTGCCTTTGAGAAAGAATTTCTTTCCAATACTAGCAACATTGAAAGTGCCTAGCGACAGACGTCATAACTCTGCACAGGGCAGTGCCCAAATATATTGCCAACATCTGAACAATTTGCCTGTATCGTCCTAATTCAGCCGGTTTCCGATTTCTATTAAATAACTTTATAAATTGTATTGTTGAAAAAGAAAACTAAAGTGCTTACTCCAATACATCTACGCTTATTTATTCTATTTTTCAAACATGTTAGCGGCTCGGAACAGCGCAAGTGTCGCCACGCAGATCATTTTAGGTGTGGTGTGACGGTGCATAAGTGATGAAAGGCGAGGTGTAATGCGCAGTTGACCTTGAGTCGCCAAAAAGAAATGAGAGACATGAGTACTCGTTGGGCCCAACTCCACAAAGCATTATTTCTTTTCAATTATGGAATCCCATTATTCATGTAACTACATAATTATAACTTACGCCAATTTATCAGGATTGTCAAAAACTACTAGATTTGGAAACCAGTACAACGTATAAATGACGGTTTACGATATAAAACAAACTACAGAATCTTACAACGTATTCATCTCTTAGCTGGAGGAAACGCGCAAGCGTCTACTACTATTGGACTATAGAAAACGAAAACTAACGCACTAAGATTAGAATTGCTAGTTTATAACGATGTTAGTAGCTTCGTCTAGGTTTAAAAGCCTCCGTACCAGGACAGGACAGCTGGCTGTTGATCGCAAGAATTCTGTTGCTCTGAATCGTTCATTATATTTAGGCAGTCCTACTTTGTCCTACCAAGAGTCGGATGAGTCAGACATAAAACAAATTACCTATGTACTTACTATTTAGTCTGCGAGCGTCGATTTCTTGATAAAACCTATTTATTTGTAAAGCGTACCTTGGAATGCTACATTTAAACTTTTACTAGATGATAGTTTCAAATTGTAGGAATAAAATCGACGTAAGTTTGTGCAGTTGCATTATTATTCGCTGTTTTTTTTTATAGCAAAGATATTTTTATAGAGCCTTATGCACAGGATAGGTAGTAGGTAAATAAGAAAATCTATTACAAACCTTTTTTATATGTCATGAATGATATTATATGGAAAAATGTGACTTCTGTGTTGCATATTTGTGTATAGGTTACTTTTATTTTATGGAATGGATGTTGAAGGTTTTTCTCATTTCAAATTGAGTTATTTGAGAAAAAACCTAGAGAACAATGAATCAAGAATATTAAATTTCCCTTTAATTTTTGATTTACACTGACCCTAAAAGAATCGAGTCTTCTTACTAGCAAAAACCATTAAAATAGGCTTCACAATACAGTTCCGAGCTACTTTTTGAAATCAAGCTCATTTCTCAGTTCCATCAGATTCGAAATCATTAATTTACAAACGTAAAACATGGAGGTCACAATTTTTATTTAAAATGTTATGTCAGCAAGGACATACACTACAAATATCTTAATTTGAAAAAAAAAAACTGCATCACAATAAGACATGCAGCAACAACGAGAAATAAAATAAAAAGGTATATGTACAAATCTAAAGAAACAACCCTACAACTTTTGTATGAAATTTTTATTTATACATTTAATTATCCTATAAGTCATAACTGGACTATACCTAAAATTTCAAATAACATCTATTTGAGAACTTAATACTGAATAAGTCAGAAATTAAAAGTAATCATGATCTATTTCTTATTCTTAATTCAACTTAATGTTCATTTTATTAACCTAGCATCATTAAAGGGACTTGAGTCATTACATATTAATATCCTATGTTGTACTTAAATATCTGTATAAAATGTTTTCACAATCTATGTAGAACCTTAAAAATATGTCACGGTAAGTACCTAAAGTACTACAATAAATAGAAGACCAAATTACATCAGTACATATTCTATAAATAATCTATTCATATTTGTCTAAAGATAACGAGCTTCAAACTAAGGTTAATCGGTTCCTGACGGCTTCTCCTAGGTGGTCTCGAGTAGACCAGAGGTGTAACTAGTGCTCCGGAGCGTACTGCCTACACTAGCGGACACGAATACTCTGCTCTACTAGTGTACTTAGCACGAAACCTAGAGATTGAAAAAATTTATCAGTCATATACCAAAATACAAAAACATCTCCATAGCATTAATTAACTACCAGATACGAAAGTAACTGTCTTCCTAAAAAGGCTCCTAATTACAATTAATGCTATGTAGTAATCAACCTAAAATTAACTAAGTAATCAGTACTGTATAGATAAGTATCATGTATGAGTCAACTCTTATAGATTTAGTGCTTGTTTAAGTGCCATGTATTTTACTTTGTCCTATAAAATGGTTGGTGTGAGTGAATAATGTATGTTTATGAATTTTTGTGACATAACAAAAAGTGTCTTACTTACATGTTTTAGAAGCGTCCACCTCTGCCTTGTCCCCCTCCATAGTTCCCCCCACTGCCATAGCCACCTCCACCACCCCCTTGGTTCATGTTGTAAGGCGCAGCTCTGTTGTTGCTGTACTGCTGGTTCCTAGTGGGGCCACCACTGTAACTCTGTTGGCCATAGTTGCCAAACTCCTGATTGCCACCCCAACCACCACCACCGCCTCCTCTTTGGTTCCCACCACCATATCCCCCACTGCCCTGGCTCCCTCCCCAACCGCCCTGGTTGTTATCCCATGGGTTTGAATTGTTCCATCCACCTCCTTGGTTGCCTCCATAGCCACCTCCTGTACAAAAAATTTGAAATTTTATTTGGTTAACAAAATTTTAAGAAACTAATGAATGATAATAATCATACCAGAATTACCCCAATTATCATTTCTTCTCTGTCCTTGTCTGCCGCCACCACCACCTCGCTGGTCAGAGCCATCTTTAGGCAGAGCTTTTTTAACATCTAATTGTTTCCCATTAATTTTATGAGGGGCATTTACTGTAACAAACATTACAAGCTGTATTTTTACTTCAAATAAAATTTAAAGAACAATTAATTATGACTTAAATATTAAAATGTTTGTTGACTTGTGTACCAGATCTAACCTGTGGAATAGTAGCCTGGTATAGCTTTAATCAACAATTTAATCTCCACAGTTAGAGAAGCCAAACCTGGACATTGGTATTCCATTTTGGGGCAAAACTGTGGCAGTCAAAGTTAAAAACAGATTTAAAATAATCAATAAAATTAGACTTACAGCAAACTTTGTCTACTGGGTCATAGTCATCAAATTCAACGAATCCGAAACCACGCTTCTTTCCAGTAGCTTTATCAGTGACAATGCTAACATTCTGTACATTTCCGTAATTAGAGAAATATTCTCGCAATTGATCTTCAGTGTGGTCATCTTTAATTCCGCCGATGAAAAGTTTTCTAACTGTAGCTCCTGCCTCGGGATTTTTAATATCCTGTCTAGCTACGGCACGTTTTGTTTCCACCACGCTGGAAAATAAAACAAATTATTGTTAAACACACGTTTGTTAATTGCTTAGCACGTTAAAATACAAAATAAGGTCATGTCGACTCCACAGAAAATGCCACGTGTACAGTTCAACGAAACATTCACCAAGCAGTGTCTTTTAGTTTATGCAGTGTAAAACGATATGAAAGCAACTAATTAAACTTTCATATAGCTGGACTGCAATAAATCGGGTTTATAAAATAAATTACAACGCTGAAGTTTAGCTTACCGTGAATCAATTGTATGAGGCCTATTGTTCTGCGCATCGTCAACCATGTGGGCTTTGGAATAAGTAATAAAGCCGAAACCACGAGACCTCTTGGTCTTCGTATCTTTCATAACGACGACGTCCACGATTTCGCCCCATTTCTCAAAATGTGCTTTTAAAGATTCATCAGTCGTTCTGTAATTTAATCCCCCGATGAAGATTTTACGATGAACTTCGGGTTCCTCCTGTAATTATGGCGACCATTACAATCAACAACAAAATGGCGGATGGCGTTGATCGAAATTCAATCGTCAAATTTATTGAAACTACAGTAATTTATGATCTACAAATGTTAAAAACACAATCAATTAAATCAAACAACCTAATTAAATGATAAACAATGAGTAAAAACGTTACAGAAAATATTGTTTTAAGACGCAGATATTATGGCTGAGTCATAGCCGGTAGCTATAATTTATACTCACATAACCATCATCTCCATTTTGCTGCGGCCTCATTATGAAAAGCTTGATAAATGGAGTAGCGAAATAAGAAGACAACAAAACAATTCAAATAACTTTTTAGCGCAAATTAGAAAACTCCCAAATTACGATTAAACACTACCGTTACAAACCGACGCCACGCTAAAAAGAAAGAAATTGTAGAGTAGCGCGAGGGAGTGCGACGCTCGACGATCGCTTCCTGTGCAGTGTGACCAGATGTATATTAAGGATTCTACCAATACTTCGTTTAAGTTTTGATCAAATAAGCTCTCTTTTCATCATAAAAGCTGACAGGTAGCTGCTTAATGATGTAATTTTTAAGAAATTATGCAACTATGAGTAAAATCATTTCTTAAAACAAAATAACTTTTAGGATATTTCCGAATCTGGTCACATTGTTCGTTACGTGGCGCTGGAGGAAGGAGGGAGTTACAAAAGTAGGAAAATGAGTAGAAAACAATAAGCTTTCCTGGCAACTTCATTTGCGTCTTTTAAAAAGATATAAAATCGATAATGTGTAATCGTGGTTCGTAGTACTGATGTTATATGGAAAATGAATATATTGAATAGAGATTAAAACATATTCTTAGCTAAAAGAAATTACTAAATAAATTTTAAAAACTTTATCACTTTTTGTTTTGCGATATTTATTATTCTTGATTTTGTCGTTTTTGTCTGTGTCGATTGAAAACTGAAAGAATACAGATTATGCTAAAGTGATAAAAGAATATGGATGTTTATTATTTACTGTCATTCTCATTTCTCTGTTTCTGATTTCTGAGTAAAAGAGTTGATTGAAATTCATGCTAGATATATTTAATTAACTTACTGGAACTAAGTATTTAAGTTTAAAATTTAATAGCTATATTCCAAAATGAAGCATGATAGTAGTGGTGGTGGTGGTGGTGACGAATATGTAAGTGAAACCTATTTTTTTAATTTATTTAATACAAGTGAATGCTTTATCAACCGGTTACAGACATGTATGAAAAAGCTAGAGTTATTTTTACCAGGGACTAGTGAATAAATACGAAGCATTCTTACTCGTTAAACATTATACAGATTTGAATGTCGTGGCACGATCTTTTAAAAATCTGTGATGAATCTTGGACTCATCGAATCTAATAAATAAACATTTTCGACCGCTTTAGTGCTTGTTACCTTAATATTAAAGAAGCAGTATAAACTAAAAAAAAGAAAAAGTCACCAATTACTTTGGTTCTTTATTTTTTCTAGTTACAAATATTTTTTTTCTATTTGTTGTCTAAATCTAAAGGCACAAAACTTATTGCAAAGCAAACAGTAATAATAAAACTGTATTAGTAAGCCCTACTGCCTATAACATTTGAAGTTCTTGTAATTTCCCCCTTATAACTAGTAATATATTAGAATGTTTGTGTCTACATTACTAATATTATAAATGCAAATGTTTGATGAGGATGGAAGGATGTTTGTTTGCGGGTATCTGTGGAACGGCTTAATGGATCTTGATGAAATTTGGCACAAATATAGAATATAATCTGGAAGAACACATGGGCTATTTAATTTTTTTTTAAATTCAGTGTGGATCTATGAATAAATTCTATTTAATGTATTTGACTCATATTCCTTTTTAATTATTTCAGGAAGAACCTGAGCATTTAAGAAAGTTGTTTATTGGGGGCTTAGATTACCGCACTACTGATGAGTCCCTCAAAGAATTTTATGAGCAATGGGGTGAAATTGTAGATGTTGTGGTTATGAAAGATCCTCAAACAAAAAGGTCCAGAGGATTTGGGTTTATAACCTATTCAAAGGCTCATATGGTGGATGATGCTCAGAATAATAGGCCCCATAAAATAGATGGCAGGTCAGTAATTTTATGTATCCATCTGTTTGGTCCTTTTTCAAAAAATTCTTAACTTTCTTAATTGTAAGTCAACTTACATATAGCTTAGTATATATTTTTATGTTCCCTTTTTTCACATTTTCTTTTTTTTCCTGAACCAGACTTTATATATTGTACTACCAAAAGCTTTGAAGATTTGAGGCCTCTATATTCATGTTTCTTATTTCAGAATTGTTGAACCCAAAAGGGCTGTGCCCAGGGAAGAGATTAAAAGACCTGATGCAAGTGCAACTGTTAAAAAGTTGTTTGTGGGTAATTTAAAACAAGATATAGAGGAGGATGATCTCAGACAACATTTTTCTTCATATGGTAACATTGTCTCCGTGACTATTGTAACTGAAAAGGGTTCGGGGATTAAAAGGGGATTTGGTTTTATTGAATTTGATGATTATGATCCAGTTGATAGGATATGCTGTAAGTTATTTTACTTAGTTTTTATGAAAATTACCAATATATATAGCTACATAATTAACTATTACTTGTTTTTTTTAGTAGACCAGGATCATAAAATTAATGGCCGACTTCTAGATGTTAAGAAAGCATTATCAAAATCTGAAATGTCAGGAGGGGGCAATCGTCGCGGTGGTGGCAGGTTTGGCGGTCGCGGAGGCGGCCGAGGTGGCTGGAACAATCGCCAGAATTGGGGTAATGTCTTGTTTTCATTTATTTTAATTTTTTTATCCATTCCTGTCTAGAAATAAATAGTCATTTAGTTATAGAAAATACACTCTTAGTACAAATAGTGCTTACGCAAGTATTGAAATTTTTTTCTTCTAATATTTTTAGGAGGTGGATATAATTCAGGTTATGGTGAACCAAGTAGCTGGGACAATCCGAGTCCTTGGGAATCAAATAACTCACAAGAGTCATGGGATAATCAAGGGTATGACGATCAGAACTGGTCGCAGGATAACTTTGGTGATGGATACCAACAAGGGTTTAGCGGAGGCCCCATGAGACCCAATTACAACACACAGAGGCAACAACCTTATAATACAGGTAATTGATAATGATTTACACACTTTTTGAATAACCATAGCAAAGATGAAAGCAAAAACTTGTTCAGATTGTCTGAAACTATATATCAGGTAATAATAAAATTTACATATGTCTTGTAAGAAAGTTGAGAACTTTAATGATTTCAGTGCCTATTACTAATATTATAAATGTTTAAATTTAGATGAATGTATGTTAGAAAATATCTCCGGAGCAGCTCAACAAATCTTGATGACATTTGGCATGGATGTAGAATCAGTCCTACAAAAGTAATCTTAGACTGCAGATGTTGATTGAAAAATAAAAAACAAGTCAAAAATAATGTTTTTTCTATCTAGGCGGTGGTGCTGCCACTAGCGGTGTTCAGAACTACAGCACAGCGTCAGGCGGCAATCAGCGTAGATTCTAAACCTTTCCCGATGTCTTCTTGTAAGTACATTTACATTTTCATTGTGACAATGCACAGATTCTCATACAAACATTTCATTTATTTTACATTTCTTGTAAATATATGAAATTTAGTCAGTTTTCCCGAAATGTTTAAGTTACAATTTTAGGTAGCTTAGAATTATAAGATTTTTCAGAGTTTTTTTATCTTTAAAAGGTAGTCCGCAATTTTTCTAAATTTTTTACGTATTTTTAAATATATTTTTTTTACGGGATAAATGTAAATATTTTGATATTATATTATCCATAAGTTCTATGAAATAAGCATTTATAAAGTTATTGTTTTTTCATTTATAAATCTAAAAAATGAAAATAAAATGCATTATTTTAACAAATTGTGGTAATTCAATGGCGACACTTCAATTGGCGAAGCGTTTTCTTTAAATACACTTGCGAATTATAAATATATGCGAATTTTTGTAATCGTAATAATTCATAAAATCAATACAAATGTAACAAAGGTTTTATAAAACGCAACGCCCAATGAATTCTCGTCAAATAAAGACTGATGAAAATATTTTTAATGCTTAGGTGTGAAGTAACGCATATTTGAAGCTAGGCAGGCGTAATGTAGACAGGCGCGCTCTGGCCGCCTTGAGGCACAAGCGGACTTAGGAAAGGACCACATTACATAATACGTCATATTTTACATATTATATCCTAAACTACACTAAGGTTTGCTCACAACAAGGTACTGTGCAGGCAAAAGATACTATTTTTAATTTATAATTTACATATTAGCACTTACACAATTTTTATATGTGATATTCAAATTGTGTGACATCCGTTCACTGCCATATTTTTTCTATGAGGCTTTAAAGAGATTTTGGTATTTTAGTTATAAGATTTTTTTTTCTGAAATATTCACTAAATTGTTGCTACAAAATGATTATTCTGTGTTAAATGAGATTCAAGTTGACATATTTTTTATTTCTAATGATCGGAAACATTCCAAAAAAATTACTCGCTTCGAAAATGGTTGTTTTAAGTTTAATATAAAAAAATACATGTTGTTTTTTTTACATATAATGAGCATTTATTATTAGGATTAAGAATACTGTCCTGTTATAAAATATGTTAATATTTTATGTTTATCACATATGAAAATATATAGATAGGCCTTTAGAAATAATATTTACTAAGGTGAAAGGAGTGAAGTGTGAACACCAATTTGTAGTCTTTGGAACACAAATGAAGAGGAAAAGACACCAAAGAAACACTATCATGGAGATTAGGGGTAAATAAGGATTGTAAGGTTTTCTGAACATAAATCGATTTTATAAGTGTGTTTTAAAATTTCCAAATATCAAAAAAGTACTTGAGATAAGTTGTTATAAACCTATTTATGATTTATAAAATTGTCATTACATATATCCATGGGCATTGCCAAAGGTGGGAAAGATAGAGTCAGCTGCCTCCCTCTTTAGAGTATTAAAAAATGGAAAAAGGGTAAATAAGTAATAGATAAATAAATGCTTAATTGTAACACTCATTTACATAATAATTTAAGAGCCTTGGCTCCACATTTAGGATATAAAAACTACTTCGAATGAGATATTATTTGTAGCTGTCTCCTCTGCCCCCTAGACTTAGCTTAGACCATCAGCGGGTGACGTCTATGCTTACATTATTAATAGCAAATATTGTGTCCTCTTAGGTCTATCTATATGTTTGAGTTTTCCTATTTGAAGTGTTATAAATGTTTGGTTAGATTATATAAATATGACTAAGTCAAGGGACTAGTATTTTTTAGTTATATACCAACTTTATAAATGTATAGAATTGAACAGTTCCTGTTGTTTGTGTGCAATATTAAAATTAAATGAAAACTATTTTCCATGGATATTTCTATGCGGTGGACAAGTCTCTGTTTGTGGAAACGACCATGGTAAGTTTAATTTGCTGAATAAAAATTATAAAATTATATTTTTAAATGTTTTATTTCAATACTTATCCAACTACCTATATGTACTGACTAGGATATATACATTATTATACATAACACAGTAATAATTCAAGATGTTCTAATTCTAAAGATATTCTATGTTAAATGTATTTCTTTAAAAGGATTAATTTCTATTTACATTATTAAAGCGTGTTATATAGGTGTGACATTTAAAATCTTGAAAATTCAATAAAGTCGCTCTATGAATAACAGTAGACAGTCGAAAGCAATGTCTATCATCAATACTATGATGATAAAAGTGATTCTAGTACTATTTTAGTTAAAGCTGCAAATAGTTCATTATTTGACCTATCGTGAGCTTACGCAACTTTAATATTACAGTGTGTTTACTACAGAAATATCAGTGGAAAACATATCATTGTTTGTTTTTAAGATAGAATAAATCGCTTATTAGACATATTATCGTACATTTAAACTTATAACGAATACTTTACTTATTGACTGTTTGTTGGGGGTGTACCGGTAGACAAGGACACGTGGGGCCGTAGGGCGCGCTGATTATTGTCGGGAAGAAACCCGATGCCGCTGCTAGTTGTCTGCAATTACAAGGAACAAGTAAGAATTTCACGAGTTTTAAGTACTAAAGTGTTTATTCCAAAGTGTTGTTTAAATGTGTTTAGTTTCTAACCTTAAAATACGTAGTACATATAAAAAAATGATTTTATTTTTTTGTTCTTAATTCTTATTGAAGGCTAAAAATATTGTAAACAACTCAACGTTACTGTCTACTACTGTAGGAGGCATGTTACCTGTATTGTTGATCAAGATGCGCCTTCTCTATTCTTTTATCTTTGGCTCTGCGATTTTGGAACCAAATTTTGACTTGCGTTTCGCTCAAAGACAGCGCGGAAGCAAGTTCACACCTGAAACAGATTATGTTTAGTGCAAAAAAAGAAAATGTGTTGTGGTGATATGAAAATCTTAATCTATGATAAATTTTAGTTTACAAAATAGATGGACAGCTGAGCTGAGCTGTTAGTTGTACCTTCTCGCTCTAGCGACGTATTCGCCTCTTGCATATTCCAGTTCAAGACGTAATGTCTGGTGCGCCGAGAATGTTGTACGTTGACGACGAGGTCGACTCTCCTTGCGACGTCTTCGAGCCACTGAATAAATAACAGTAAATTGTGATAATCAATACGAAACACGTAACTTTATAGCATCTTGTGTTGTATACCCTATTAAAATTTTATATTTAAGGTTGTATTTTCTGCGATATTCTGCGAAATTTTGGTATAAAATCGTCTTTTTTTCCTTTGGTATAGAAGTAAAAGCATTAGTTTGTATTAGGCTCAAGAAAATAAAAGGTAAAATGCTACACGCAAGTATAATATACATAACCTAAAAACCAAAATATTTAAAATCGGAAGTGAAGAACTTCCCTTTAGTAATGAATGGGAACATATGGCATATCAAAGTTATAGTAGTTCGGTGATACGCAGGTATCGAATGGCGAAATTATGAGCGTTGGTTATTAATATGATCGTGATTCACCCCAACCGGGGCAGGGTTTCTTCACTTCCGTGGCAATATGGTGCGCAATCGGAGCTCTTACAAGCACACTTTTTCTCATGCCTCAATCACTTACCGGCGCCTACAAAACCGTCGAGAATCCTTATAGTGCATCGCGTCCTTTTAATTATTATACGATAACAATATTCTACAAATATACTTTATTTAATATATTTTGAATATTAAATCAGTCTAGTTTTAAAACTAAAAAAGAGTGAGCAAGTGTAACGCAGATTATATGTTTCCATCTACTTACTAATATTGATTATTATGCTGCGATAAAAAGTGATTAAAACATGCAGTATAGTTTGAACATAGCCTTAAACTTCTGTATCGTATTTATAACGATTGCGTTTTTCAAATTAATAGGTAAATTTCTATACTAAAGGGTTTTTGTATTAAATATTTATATTGTTGATAATTCAATTTATTATATAAAATGTTTTCCGTACAGCACAATTCCGACGTCATTAAAGCACTATATCCGATACCACTCGTGTCCTGTCAATTTGCAATCACCGCACAGTTCATTGACTAATAGCTCTTCCGCGATATGACCATAAGAATTTCCAATAAAAAATTACGCGGCATTTGCGGTTTAGTAACGATCAAAATCTGTAGTCGGTATTTCCTTATGGACGGGACCAAAGTAATTTTTTTGGTGGTTTATTACAACTAACATCTTCCAATCTTACTAATATTACAAATGCAAATGTTTAGATGGATGGATGGATGTTTGAAGGTATCTCTAGAACGGCTAAACGGAAATCGATGGAATTTTGGCATACATTTCGAACATTGTTTGTAAGAACACATAGGCTTGTAATTATTTTTTTTTTTTTAATTTCGCGGATGGAGTTGCAGGTGACAGCTAGTATTTTACAGTTTTTGTATAAAAATCTTAAGGATATAGTACTCTAGAAAGCGGCAGCGTAATAAGGATAGGTGGTCGTGACTCCTCAATCGTCGATAATTTGAACCCTAACTTTACTAGGATAACATTTGCCTTTATAAAAATCCTTATAAAGAAAGGGCCCTAATTATTGTACACTGTAATTGATACTTCGAAATGTTGGCGAAATACAAAATTATATTTTTATGAATACCTCGCATGAGCCGTACCGTTATGACGTGGATATGCGTGAGATATTGTTCCTTTGTGTTAACGGCTATTCGCCTAATGATAGCGTTTACTTAATTGAACAGATGAAAAGAATATTATGTATTGTACTATAATAAAGATGTTTGTTTAGACACGCACTTGTTCATAACTATGTCTTGAATTAAAGAACAATAGTTGGGAAAAAGTGTGTTTTGTTACTGTTAAAGTGTTTTAAAAGGAGTGTAAAAATTAACGCAACATCCGTTAAAGAACATTAACTTAACAATTCTCTTTAAAATAAAATTTAAATTATGTTGTTTATTTAATAATAGCATACCAATTCGTACACTTAGAGTCAATAAACGGGCCCTCAGTCTAGACTTAGTATAAGAAACTAAACTTAAGGTCTCCCTTACTAAATAATCATCTAGAGTATGTAAGCTTGAAAGCGTACCCTTTTATGATAAAAATCAAAACATTTAACTAAAAGAAATTAATCTATTGGCTTGTTACTACAAAGGGTGTACGTAACTGTGGGAGACGTCAGCTGGGGGTTGTCCCGGCATATGTAATTGGTTAACAATGAAAGTATTATCTGAATCAACGTTGTCACATTAAATCGTCACTCGCTCGATAGATTCTAAAGCGATTGTCATTAGTGGTTGGGATAGGATTTGCACTTGATTTTGTTGACGATCACGGCTTATGAAATACTAACTATCGCCCGCGAACGTCCGCACGCAATAGAAAAAACCCAGTTAGTAGCCTATGTCTTCTTCTAGACTATTTTCTACATCTATGCCAAATTTCAGCAAGATCTAGGCAGCCGGTCTGGAGATACCTTCAAACAAACATCCATCCTTTGAAACATTCGCATTTATAATATTAGTAAGACAGGGTATAGGATTTTATATTAAATAGCAACAACATGTTTATAATTTAATAAAATCTTGTTAATCTTTCAAATACCTCCCATTTTTAGATAGATTGGAAAATGGATTTGATGTTGAACCCACGATCCCATGTCTCAAATTTCGATCCGATTCGCCGTTGGCCTGATTGATTTTCGTTGGTTTCAAAAATGTAGTATATGAATACTACATTTTTGCATGAGCATACAATTTTTTTAGGTACGTACTACTTTTTATGGCAAGTTTATATGTTTTCTCTTTTAAATTTAAAGCATTTTATTTGAATCGAAATTACTTCTTTTACATCTACCCTCTTGCTGTTTGTAATTCAGATTAAAAGGCGATTGTGTTTAATCATCAATGCCAACAATGCCTTAATGGGTGTAGATATATTGGGGTTGCTACCCCTTAATATTCATTAGCGAAGATCCCCTAATTACAAGACCAGTGGAGCGTCTGTCCAGTTTGAAACCAATGATATCTACACCTGACTTGTTCACGTTTATGTTTTGTTTTCAATGGCTCGGGAAAAGAAATTGATATCGTATTGAAATCTTGCTTCAACGAACTTCAATTGCAAACAATCCTACCGATATAAAATACCGCAATAAAATGTTGCCTCCGATTGAAATAGAAATTAAAATAGCTCTCATCTTGCAACGATTTGTTTTTAAATTATGGATAAAAGATTGGAAGACACAATCGTTTGCATAACAATCATATCTTTTTAAGAAAAACTAGATAAGATTTAATTGCGCGTTGGTTTATGTTTTCATCGACTAGAGATGTTATTAATAAAGACTTAAGACATTATTTTTGTTTAATCCACCGTCGCGTCGTAACATAGCCACAAAACAATCTTCCTCATAATTGAGATAATTTACGCAAAACCCTAATGAAAACGTGGCTATTACTGCTGAATATTATGAACCCATTCCATTAATAATCTTCATAATACAGACATAATTTGGTTCGATGACAGTTTATGAGTAAATAAACGATGTGATTTGTGAAACAAGGCTGATATAAATTGCGGCTATTGTAGATCATAATGTTTAAAATCGGGCGCGGTTCGTCTGCACGCACATGCCCGTTCCCACAGACACAATCCGCTCTCGAATTTATTATTTTCAATACAATTAACCATGTTCCAATTGTTATCTCGGAACATTTTTGGTTTATAAAGCAGGAAAATAACTCTTTTACATAGTAGAATACGATTATTTGAATTTTAGTAATTCTGTACTATGATTTATGACAAATTAGTTGTCGCCCGCGACTCCGTCCGCGCGAAATTAAAAAAAATAAACTGAGTAGCTTATATGTTCTTCCAGAATAAGTTATACGTCTGAGCCAAATTTCAGCCGTCCGTTAAGCCGTTCCGGAGATACCTTCAAACATTCGCATTCATAATATTAGTATGAAAGTACGAATTAGTATGATGTATGTCATTAAGTCATTGTTTACCCAAATCTTAGGTCAGAAGTAAATATCATAAAGCGTCGTTCACGTTGACTTAATTCTGAGACCAAAATCGCCGTTTAAAATATATTGTTGTCTCTGTTTTGTCAAAGATAATGACAGGTCTGGCGATATGTTGTATACAGACATTTTGGTCTCAGGAAACAAAGGTAAATGTTTATTTTAACAGCTTTTCGCTCATTACTTGTTTACGTTTCAGTTTCACGGGCTGTTGTTTCGTAATAGTTATAAGAGTTGAACAATGGCGGGATTTTATTACGGAGTTTGCGAGAACAGTGGGCACAATTTTCTCGAGCGAGCGCCTATGAAAGGGAAGCTTCGCGCGATGGCGGCCCACTCAGACGTGGTGTTATAATCGCATCAAACTCTCCCCACCATCCCCATCTCTCCACCTTCCGCGTATTAAAACACGAAACATTTTCAAACTACGCGACAAACCATTATGATTATATTTTTATGTAGGCAAACATCACGTGGAATGATCGCTGTAAAACTTTTTAAAACTATAAGATATTGTTCTTAGTGTGAAGTAAACGGAGCAATGAAAACGTATGTATGTCCATATATGGATCATTGGAGTCGAAATTCAGAGCTAATTCATTTAATCCTCTTTTTATTAGCGAAAATCTATCTGTACTTTGAATCTGTGGCAGCTTTAGCACCATCAAGCAAAAATAATTTTGCCATCCCTATTGATGCCTAGTGAATTTAATTAAGCGTCGGTGACTCAGGTGTCAAGTACTTGACTTGCAATCTGCAGGTCCTCGGTTCGAATCCCGCCATGTACCAATGTGTTTTTCGATTTCCGATCTTACGGTGAAGGTAAACATCGTGATGCAACCTGCAAATATCTGAGAAGAAATTCAAAGATATGTGTGTGAAGTCAACCAACCCGCACTTGGCCAGCGTGGTTGACTATGGCCTAATCACCCTTAACTTAGGGTAGGCTCCGAGCCCCTCGGTGGGGACGTATAGTGAGCTGATGATGATGTATTTCATTGAAACTCTACTTTTTTCATATTAATTTATAATTTACTTCCTACTTTAATACAAAAGTTTTTTGCGTTTTCAACTTAACTCCTTCTATGTCACGATGAATTTTTCGTTGAAGTAATTCCACCAGGCCATTGAAAGTGTTAATATTTGATTACAATTCCAGGGTTCGAGGATTTATTTATTTCATAACTATATTAAGTAACAAAATTGTTTTGTACCATCCGTTCAAAGAGAAAGACAAGTTTCTTATAAAAATACAGATAAAAGTAATGCTGTTTGTATAGAATTTTCATAAAGGACCGTCCGGCAAAGAGTTGAGAGATTAGGTGGCCGTCCTCCTCGGAGCTTATCTCCCATCGCGCGCTTGTATTCAAATATTTTTATTCAGATATTTTTATAGAGTGTACCCACAGACATCTTTGATGTTCATGCTATATTACGATTTGTATTATGTTTATATAAATTTAGTATTGGCCAACACTCTAAGCGGTTGAAAGCGATGGCTGATGGTAGAATGTTTCATGTTTTTTAAACTTGATAAAATTTGTTTTTTGTGTAAATTTAAAAGTAGCGTTAAGACGAAGGATTACAGAATTCAGTTACCTTTTGTATGTTCATGTTTGATGAGCCGTAATTAATTGTATTAATCTTTTGGCTTGCAAAATTTGCGTTTTAAACATACGATAGTTACCGTAGGAGCTATCGTTAAATAAATTCCAGCCTGATACCTTCACGCGTTTTTGAGAATAAGGATCTTGAGAGACAGACGGACGGACAACAAAGTGATCCTATAAAGGTTCTGTTTTTTTCCTATGAGGTACGGAACCCTAAAAATAAGTAATAAAATGCAAATAAATGTATTTACATTTATTTGCATTTCCGTATTCCGATTTCCGTAAATGGTTTTAGATTTCTAAAACCATTTACGGAAATCGCTGATTGATTGTAACCTTTTACAGTCTCACTCTTTATGTCATTGACACAAAAGCGCATAAAGGCTCACCAAAATCGTCATATTTGCGTATTAAATGCTAACACACCAACGCATACTATTGTTTGTTGACCGTAAGTTTCCATTGCGGGATTAAACATGCAAAAAGATATTGGTCTCGCAGTTTATTCACGCGGAACGAGAGGAGATGACAGTGTTTTGTACAAGCGTTTTTTGATTGGAAACCAATCTTGATAGTTTTAAGTAACATGTCTTCTCACGGGTAGCCGAAAATTTGTACACGGAAGATTTTTCTAATAATGTTCCAGCCCAGACGTTAATTTCCGGGTAGATGTAATGGGTTTCAAAGAAGGTGACATAATTAAGAAGATTTTATTAAAGAAAATTGTTAAATAAGTAAAAAGCAAATGTGTGAAGTATCCGTTATATGCTATTATCGAAATATTAATATAAATTTATATTATAATTTTAATAAAAATAAGAAAACATATAAATGTGAGTTTTTGCACGGCTGTATCGGTCGTTGAAACCCTACGGCTTACCTAAACCTACCTCTTTAAAATAGCGCTAAAATTATGGATGTACCGTCATTGATTATTTCAACGTTTTTTTTCAGTTACCGTTAGTAATCTTATTATAACATTATAAACTACCTGCCGCCTGGTTCTCCGTCCCCGCGAAATTAAATATTAATAAGTAGCCTATATGTTTTTCCAGATTATGTTCTATAACTATACCGATCCGTTGAACCGTTCAGAAAACATACCTACAAACTAACATCCCTCCATCCATCTAAACATTCGCATTTATAGTATTAGTAAAATACGAAAGTTTGAATGTATCTTCTGAACGGATCTCGATGAAATTTCACATAGAGGTAGTTTGGAAAAATACATACATAATCTTAAGTTTTAAGATTTTTATATTTATATTCCACGCAGATGAACTCGTTCGAAATCTTTAGAAATCAAGGAGATTCAAATTAATTTTACGTTTAGTGCCAAAAGAAAGTTCTAATATGAGATATACACAAATAAAATAAGTTATTACTTACAGAACGCAGCTAAACCTGCTCCAAAGGCTAGTTGCTGGTGTGGAAGTAACATGGGTCTTGGACACAAAGGCATAGGAGGAGGTGGTACCCAAACTTGCGGGGTCCTATTCCTCGTACCATCGCTCTCATCAACGTCCACGTCAGAACACGAATCGCTGTCGGACTCTTGCTTTTTCCGTTCACTTCTTTCGTCTACTTGAGGTTGCTGAGGTTTTTCCAAGTGGCCATAGATACGAGCAAAAAATTTCCTAGGGGATGAAGGTCGAGGAGGAATTAAAGTGTCTTTTTCCGTATTCTGTTTCTGTGATTCGCTCATGTTCAGATGATTGTTGTTCTTTTTTTAATTTGTTGTTGAAAATGTTCTTTTTTTAATTTCTAGATTTTCATTACGTAGTAAATCAGTTTCGGTACGAATATTAAGAAAATAAGTTTAAGCAAGCTTAACAGATAATACTATTGTCTTGAACTTTTTACGAAGGCGCAAATTACGCGACACATTGATTTATAGAATAAAATTTACGGGCTTAGTAACGAATTTAATGAGGGATGGACACGTGTTATCCCGACCTCATAAGCACGTGGATTGCGGCCGCGTCAGGTGCCTACGTCCCTTGGGAGCGTAAGCCCCGCCCAGGACACTCGCGACCCCAAATAGAAACAGGAATACAATAGAAAGAGACGATAACAACCAATGGGTATGCTTTATGCGATCCCATCCAACCCCCGAGGCGGGATTAAGCTTATTTCGTGAGTTTTCATTTTTCTATACTCTTCGTCACCTTTCTTTAATTTATTGAAACTTTATTATAGTTACCAGCACTCCCCCGCAAAATTAGCTCAGAATTAATAAAAAAGTAGCATGTAATGTACTTGCGTGTATCTAGCTACCTTCCCGCGCTTGTTCCGTAGATTACCCGGAACAAATGCGGCCTTGCGGCAGACATACAGACAAAAAAATTTGATTTAGTATTCGGTATCAGAGCAAATACGGTTCAGTGAAGTTCTTGGAATGTCGCTCAAAAGAGATTTGGATATTTTAGTTCCGAAAATTAGATTAGGGATGCTTGTTTGGCATTGGACTAATTTGCAGTTTTTTTTTTGGTATTCAAGTTCAATTTTAAACAATTAAAATATTTAAGCTGTAAACATGTCATAACCATAAACGTAATATTTTTACGTCAACTTGTGACAGACGAATTTATAACAACAATAAACAAATGTTATTATGAAAACATTTTGATAATTACTAAATAATGCAAAAAAATGGTGCTTTATTAACCGTTGCATGTGTATTGTTACTTTTTGCTTTTAATTGTACATTCCCGCTTCAAAGAGTGACATCGACGCCTAAGAAACATATATATGCTAATCGTAAGTTAATTATTTCAAATATCAAAGAACGATAAGTGAAATTCATCCTTATTTATTGATTAACTAGGTTACACATAAACTGTGCAATCTAACAATAGTTAGATTGCCCCACTACAGAAAGTTGGAAGTTTTTGTACTATGTGCTAAAATCTATGGTGTCATTTTTTTTTCTAGAATCAATAAAATGTCGCAACGTGCTGGACAATGTCGACCTTCCAGATAAAGACAAAACATTAGCTGACGATTTGGAAGAACTTATATCAAAATTTAAAAAAAATACGAATCACAAAGAAAAAAGCCGTTTGGGATTTCGCAGGCTTGCTAGCAAAAATTTCTTGAATGAGGACGATCTACGTCATTATGAACAATTAGTTATCATGAAAAAGTATCCTTTCTTGGACATCAAAGAATTGGAAATGAAATTTAGTCCATCAAATAAAGACAGGAGAGACAATGAAAATTTCCGTTCTAGAGTAAACATGGTACCTGAGCCGAGCATCTGCGAACCTGGTGACGATTTGATCAATGTTGAAATTTCTAACAGAGGTCTCTCCGGGTTCGCAATACCTACTCAACTTGTCAAACATATAAGCACGACGGAAAAGAAGTTAATCTCAACAACAGAAACGCCTAAATTAAAATCTGAAAATTCACACAAATTTTCAAAGAAATCTACAGAGAAAAATATTTTAAAAAAGTTAAAGGATGATGTTAATCAGTTTTTAGATAAAAAGAAGAAGAATTAATTCATTTTTATTTACTCAATAAAGGGTTTTCGTAATTTCAGGTCTCAAAATTGTAGACCCCGCTGGCTATATTCCTAGTATATGACAAATTCCAATTTAAAATGCCTAACTGTTTTATAGTTTTGTTTACTTGGTAACCTTTGTAGCTTGGGATGTTTCCAAACAGAAACGACTAATAGCCACACTCAGAATCAACGCTTAATATTATTATGTGGTCAGAAGTCTCTTAGGGTAGATTTACTATCACATTGAAGTTTGATTACCTGATAATTTGATGTGATAAAATATTCTGAAAAACATTTACAGCCGCGGAGTAAAATGTGTATTTCAGCAATGGTTTTTATTTTTAAGACATTAATTCTACATTATATCAATTGATGTAGATGTAATATGTTTCAAGCAATATAAAAGGAGATAATGCAGCACTCGTGACAGTGTTATATATTTTACTAGCTGTCACCCGCGACTCAGTCTGCGCAGAATTAATAAAAAAACATTTTTTTTAAGATAACGAGGCTATCGAGCAGTAGGAACACCGAGGTACTGAGGCCATGGACATCTGCAATACCAGAAGAACCGCAGATACGTTGTCGGCCCTAATTATTAGCCTATGCGTTCTTCCAGACTGTGTCCTACATCTATGCCATATTTCAGCGAGATCCATCCATCATTCGCATTTATAAGTAAGTAAGATTGTTGGTCAGTCTCTATATCGATTATTTACGTACAAGTAATGCACATCTGATCTGTGGCTTCTGTGAATGTTTTGACAGAAGAAGACATCACTCAAAATGTCTAACTGAAGCTTTAAATTAATGTCAATGTCAATCTAATAAAACAAATTTCATAATAATTTCCAGTAGGTTAATATTTTTTTTTGTTTTATATTCATTTTATGTAATAAATAAGCTAAATGTATCTAATAGTTGCTGTACATTTCAATCTGTGATAATATTCTGTATGCAAATGGAAATATAAATATCTTACTGTTATATTTTCCAAATCACTTTATTACCCAAATACTAATCAAAGTACATAAAGCATTTTAATTTACCCCTTGAAATATATATTATACTGTTTTATAATCAGTTTTTATTAAAGGTAAGCAAATCTTCTTAGCAATTTCCTAAAAGTAGTATTTCAATAAAACATGTAATTTTTTTTTAGACTTGTAACTTAAATGTATGTTGCAGCGGTATTATATTTGCAACAATTAAACAATAACTTAACACATAACTCAATATGCTTGTTCTATTTCCAGGTTATCTAATATGGAATTACAGTGCAAAGTCCAGAATTATGACTGGGGTAAATTGGGTCATGAGAGCAAAGTCGCTAAATTACTATCTAGTGGTGATACAAATGCTCTAATAGATACTGACAAACCCTATGCTGAGTTATGGATGGGAACACATCCAAATGGACCATCTCTTATCATAGAAAGAAATATACTTCTTTCTGAATACATAAAAGACAATGTGGATGCTATTGGTCCGTTGGTGCAGAAGAGATTTGGTGTATCTGTGCCCTTTCTCCTGAAAGTATTGTCTATTAAGAAGGCTCTTTCAATACAGGCACATCCTAATAAGGTAACTTATTCAGCATTCTTATAATTATGTTATATATTTTTACTTCAAGTTCTTAAGTGGATATGCTCAGGACATCTGCATTAAGGTGCTTACTACTTACTCCACTGGCGCAACAACCCAAAGTGGGTCTCAAGGTGGCCTCCGACATTACCAGGGACACCTTTGTTGACCAATTGATCCCTCAGAGTATGATTGTTATAATTAAATTTCTTAAAATGGATTTGTTTCAGGAACATGCAGAACAATTGCATGCTCTATCCCCTGAGATGTATAAGGACCCTAATCATAAACCAGAACTTGCTATAGCACTGACTCCTTTTGAAGCTCTTTGTGGTTTTCGCCCTATATATGAGATAAAGGAATTTCTTTCTAGTAAGTTTTAGTAATATTTTATTTTTATTAGACTTATTAAACACAGACATGTTTATATTGTAAATCTGAAAAATTTCATAATCATTTAATTACAGAATTGCCTGAACTGCATGAAATTCTATCGAAGGAGTCTTTGGACAGTATTTTAACATATGAAGAGGGAGATTCTACATTGGTACTAAAGAAAGTGTTTGACTCCTTGATGTCTTGTGATAAAGCTATTGTTGCTAAAAGCTTGGAGAAATACATAAAGAGATTAACTAGTGCAGGTACTGGCTGTTAATCACTCTCTTCTTTTACTGACTAAAACTATAAATTAAAAATTTTAGTGTGAGCACACAAGTTATTGTTAATTTTTATTTGACAGGTCCAGTCTAAAAAATCAAAGTGTAACTTGAAAATGAAAGAAAAAACAGTTTTTTTTAATCAAAGTTAATGAAGTTAGACTAAATTGATTTATAATAAAACCTTTTTTTTTATTACAGATGAGTCAATCAAGAGTGCTCTGCTGTTTAATACATTACAAAAGCTCTATTCTGAGTTTCCCGGAGATGTGGGTTGCTATGCTCCATACTTCATGAACCTCATGCATCTTCGTCCAGGCCAGGCGATATTCCTCAAACCCAATCTCCCACATGCATATTTAAGTGGAGGTATGTATTACTAAGTTTGATATCAGAGAGATTTTCATAATCAGCAGGGATGGTTACTTTTTGTCATTTGCCACATGACTGCCTGTGATAAATCCAACACAAATTCTGTTGAATATTGAGAAACTAGGAGAATCCAACCTCTAAAATATCTAAAAAAGGATATAGAACAAGATATTGCCTGTATAAATGTCTAGCCAGCACATTCTTGAATCAGCTTGAAGCAGACACCTCTCATTATACCAAAAAATTTAATTGTTTGCTGTTAACATATATATTTACACTATATTTTACAGATTGTATTGAATGTATGGCCTGTTCGGACAATGTGGTGAGGGCCGGTCTGACTCCGAAGCATATTGATCTGCCGACACTCATCAACATGCTGGACTACACCAGCTATACTCCTGAGGAGATGCTCTTCAATCCTAATATGGAAGACGAGAACAGCTGTATCTGGCGACCGCCTGTTCCTGACTTTGCTGTTGTTAAAATTAAAGTAAGTATTATTTATTGATAATACAGTTTTCGCACGCGACTCCGTCCGCGCGGAATTCAAGAATAAAATAAATTAGTAGTCTTCCAGACTAGGTTCTACTACTACTATGCCAAATTTCAGTGAGATCCTAGCAGCCGTTCTGGAGATAACTTCCAACAAACATCTATCCATTCATCCAAATATTCGCATTTATAATATTAGTAAGAAGTAAAATAATATTTAACAATGAATTGATAATTTAATAGTTACTTTTTTAAAACACCAGAAAGCTGCTAATGTGTAACATTCTAAATGGTTCTATGGCCTCAAAGAGCTAAGGGCACATTCCGGGTTTCCTTTCCTTATACAGTATAAGCAATATTAATCAGACAGTTTAATTTCTTTAATTGCTATAATTGTATGTTACTCAGGTGCTGAATGGTGATGCATATAATACAATAATCCGTCCGAGTCCTAGTATAATAATCTTCATATCTGGTGAGGGAGAGGCGTGTGACACAGAACCTGTCAGAGTTAGAGCGGGCACAGTGTTGTTTTTAAAAGCGAGCAGACAATTGACCATCACACCAGCAACGGAACATCTGGAGGCTTACCAAGCTATCTGCAATGTATAAATTATTTGAATTTTACTGTAAAATTGAACTGCAAACACATGTATAGACTTACAAAGTTATTTGACCCGGTGGATATAAGTCAAAATAAATTATGATAGCTTCCTAGCGCCCCTATGTCAAAAAAGTGTCAGAAGATTCTTTTTCTAGTGTAGTATTTATGTTGTGTTTTTTTTTATATTCTAATGTGACAAAAAGCAAGCGGCTGAATACCCCTAAATAGCAAAGAGATGATGCCCATGGACATCTCCAATTGTATCCGCACAACATAGGAAATAATATATTTCCCCTTCCTTCATATTATATGTTTTTCTTTTGTGCCATTTTCTATGCCCGTGTAGATTTTACATATTTTTTACAGTATAAAGCAGTGCCTCTTGCTCCGGGTCAGTTATACTTATGACATATAATGAGAGAGTTGACAATATGAAATATCAGTGCAATGGAGTTCTAAGAATATATATACTTGAAAATGTTCGAAAACATTGGTAGTCGGAATATGTTAAATGTTTTATGTCATTGTATATATTATATCAAATAATATCATGTCATATTCCGTGACATTTGGAATTTTATTTAGAGGTTATTATTTTTCAAATTTATAAATTCCAGAGGCCTTATTATAATTATTTTACTTATTGTACAAGTATAAATAATTGTAAAAGTATTATTCACGTATAAGATAGATTTAAATATGAAAATAATTAATATTTTTTTTTATGTGAATGAAAATTTATCGAATAATACATAGATTTTATATTAAAAAAATTATTTAAAATATGCTATAGGATGTAGTTTTAGAATTAAGACATTTATTTTATTAATTATTAAATTGTTGCATTAAAATTGTTAATTTTTTATTTTTTAGTATTACATTTTAAAAACTTCTTTGTTCCTATTTTTTTTTTTATTAAATAATTTAATTAATATTATAAAGGTGTTTTATTGTTCTTGATACAAATTCTATTAGATTTTTAAGACTTTTTTTTCGAAAAAAAAAATATGATAAAAACGACTCTCCACTATTTTACGTTTTCGCTACGACCTTATTAGATGTTTGTTTCGAGATGTAAGATGATATTAGATTTGCCTAATTTAAGTATACAATTGTATTTCCGCCTATTTGTTTTTTGATAAAATACCATGACAAACTAGTAAGGGTATCCTGATATGTCACTGCAGCCTGTATTAAGGAAGTAACTTGCAGATGTATTACTATATTAGAAAGAGAAGACGATAAGGCAAAGATGAAAATCTTAAATCATATCCTCAATTCTCAGTTGAATACTGACGATAGTTAAATTAAACCAATAGGTTAGCGAGGGGTACCGTTTCGCAACGGAATTGGTAATATAATAATTTCACGCCCGATCGACCTGTCCATTACAGCTTAAGATGTTACGGATGTTGCAGCGATGGGTCAATACACTCTGCAGTAATCTTAACTATTCCACAACTTGATGTTACCTAACATTTACTTCTATCAAAACCGTATCCACAAAGACCGTGGCAAATAATTGTTTAATGTCAACGAAGTGAAAAACGTTTGATTGTTTGGTAGTATTTGTTATATATATGCCAGCTCTTGCCCGCGACTCCGTCCGCGCGGAATTAAAAAAAGATTAATATGTGTTCTTTAAGACTGTTCTATATCTATACCAAATTTTAGTGAGATCCGTTCAGCCGTTCCGGTGAAACCATCGAACAAACCATCCGTCCATCCATCTAAACATTCGCATTAATATTATAATATTAGTAAGATTTTAATCATTGTATCTATGGCAAAAAACTCATATTTTTTTGTTTGTTAGTGAATATTTTATTAAATTAAATTCGCACGCTAAGTAAACAATGGATGACAAAGTTACGAATATGCAAAATTAACTTTCTTTAAAAATAATCTCTCACGATTGTTTTACCAATGCTGATATTGAAGTTGAGACAATTATTATAATCACCAGTTCACACTATTATCTGTTTTTTTTGGTGCGATATAGCCTAAAGCATTTTATTTAACCATAAAAGATGTAAAATGTTTTAAATTGAAAGCCAGCTATAGAGATAGTGATTTGACTATTTTCATTTTCATCACAGTGGAAAAGAAATGCGCAGTTTTCTGAAAGAATAATAGAAGAATAGAAAGAAGTCTTATGTGCAAATTTAATTCTTATTAAATTTTTAAATTAAATCATGTGAAAGCTGTTTAGTGATATTTTTAAATTACTTATTGTAACACTGATTTTTTTCGTCACGAAATAAAAACTTTGTCGAAAACAAGATGACATTTTTCAAGTTACCGACAGAAATTCATCAAATATAGGTAAGAGCATTATACAATTTCCTATCCTAAATTACTTTTTAATCAATCTTAATATTCCTTTGACTTTCGTTGTTTATAGATGACAATGTCACCAAAACTAATACAACAAAACAAACATACTTTTTTAAACTTACAACAAATTATGATTTCTTATCTCCATGATCTAATCTTCGCATGTTGCGGTAGGTTATGTAAGCATACTAAAGCACTTATTGTTCGTGTTAACTTGATCACGTATCCATTCACCATTACGGTTAATCGCGACTAACAATCGCCCATCTGTCAGTCGACCCACGAACTTGCGGCTTGCGCTTGACAGTATTACGAAAGATTAGGGCTTTACGATCATTATCATATTTTGAATTAGTCTTTGTTTTATTATATGAATGGAACAAGGTTACTTGAAACAATATTCCTTTAGATAGCTCGAAACTTTTTTAAGTACTTTAATTACGGTCATGGAGTTATAAAATTACGAATTTCACTATTGTAGTTACTTGACATGATGTAGTCTGAATGCTTAGTTTTACAAAATTAAGAACGTTAGTTAACTGCCGTACTAAGACTTGAATAATTGATACTTAAAAAGCCCCTCAACGTATGTATGTACTCTACACTCATAACGAGTCTCAGTGGGGCATAATTCTGACACATATCTATATCTAAACATTAATTTAACGAAACTTTATGTAATCATAGAAATAAGGATGTAAATTAATTTGTGATTTTAATTAAGTTTTCATTTAAATTAAACTCTAGAATCCATTAAATGAGAGTGATTGAGTATAGTTGTAACAAATGAAGTGAAAAATAAATTTGATTTAACGAAAGTTTTCTTAAGTAATTAATTAGATGAAATGAAATTGAATTGATTTCCGAAGATAACAAGTTTTTTATGTTTCATTAATAAATCCGTGAGCAATCAATTAGGTAATTAAGAAATCGAGAAAAAGTGATTTATTATCAGTTAAATTTGATTTATATTATTAGAAAATGTTTACGAATTACGATACCAAAACATAACATATCGATAATTAAATAAAAGAGCCAAATAAATCGTAGTAAGTTGTTTAAAGAATAATTGTGTATACTTTATTCCAACTGAAAACCTGGAGTATCTTAGTAATATTATGAATGCGAATGTTTGTATGTTTGTTTGAAGGTATCTCGAGAACGGCTGTAGGGATCTCGGTAAAATTTGGCATAGATGTAGAACATAATTTGAAGGAACACATAGACTACTAATTTTTTTTGTTTAATACCACGCGGAGTCGCGGGCTAAAGCTAGTGTATTCTTTATTAAACAAAGTAACTAACTTTTTAATTTAAACATATTTTATTGGTCACGTAAATTTTAAAATATAAGCATTAAACTAACATAGAAATAATATAAAAAGGCGTTAAGAATATTCAAATCGTTTACTTATAAGTTGTCTGATATTAAAATGCATTTAAAGAAATCATAAACATTAAGTTACGTAAATTATAACAAATCATTTCTTTTTTTACCTAATCCTAACTTTCCATAATATTTTTACAGTTTAAAAATTATCTTTACGACTTGTTTATCTTATGTAAATATTTAAGAGAATTCCTTTAATTACCATACGTGGAATTTTCACGGAGAGTTTGGTAATCAACGCTCTAGCTGATAAATACCAATATTATGATGATTACTTACGTAACCAGTTTACTTTCTATTGTAGCTATTTAACATTACAAATATGTAAAACATCTTACGTAGGCGGTATCGGAAATGTTTCCTAAAACTCGGTCCCAATGACCCGGAGATATTTTTTATCATTTTATTGCGATTTAATTTAAATTTCAACAAAAAAAACTAAAATCTAAATGTGATCTATGTTTATAATCTGTCACAATATTTGACGTTAGAATAGTTTTAAAAATATTTACATTGCTTTACTCGGATAGAATCTGGCAATTGTCGAAACATCTAGAAATAAAAGTCGATCGATGCTTTCACAATTTTCGATATTTCGAGGTTTAAACTGCATTCATTAGCGCCACTATAAAATTATACTTTTGTCATGTAACATGTTAATTTATGTTAATGATTTGTAGTTATTTCAGTTCCTTATTAATATTCCAACTTTTATAAAATGGATTCATCTAATTACTCAATCAGAGAAAACTTCATTGTTTAAAGTTCGGTTAGATGTAGACCTAAGCACAGATGAAAAAGAAAGTGATTTTTACACCAAAGTACAGCAATTATTCAATAATAGTTCATCTATGGGATAATTAATAATTCCGACCAATTAGTCAAAACTGGGCAACCTTGCTACATGACGCTCGATCGTGACACGGCCACTTTCACACGAGGGCAGAACAATATGGCAGAGCAGTAGTCAAGTAACACTACTGTTTGATCACACACACTGACCTATAATAGTTAAAAGTAATATTCGATTGAATATGTCGTTAATCAAAATGTCAATACATGGAACTGACAATAACTTTTAATATGTCATATCATCGTCACCCCTGTCCGTTTCCTCTGAAGCAGGGTCGGCTCATCGATCGTCCCTTTCGCACAATCTATCCTTCTCTATCTAGGCTTACAGTTTTGTCAGTACTGTACGTTATTGCTTTGTCTCATTGTTCCGCACTAGTGTGAAACTAGCGTTATGAAAGGTGCACTCACAACGGGCGCGCCCACAACACGCATTACTAACACATGCTCGATACATGTTTCTATGCATTGTGTTACTGTAGATTAAGAAATTGTAAGGTTTCGTCAAACTTTAATTACATACTAGCTAATCGCCCAACGTTATCCGGCTCTTTTAATTTTCAAATTAAGCTCTCTGATATTTTATAGTCTTTGTTAATGTTATAGAAGTTTTAGGCGGTATTTTCAATTTATTTTAGAATATAAATTAAATTATAGAAGGAATTATATTCATAGTCCATTTGTGTAGATTATATTTGTTATCTTTTATCTGTTTTTCTTCAAGTCCTTTTAAGTCACATTTCAAGTCAAAATAAGTATGCACGTGCCTAAAGTAGTTATCCGTTAATCTGTGGTATTAGACCAATTATGGTTTGTATTTCACAAAAGACAGTCTGTGCTTTGTAAAACGTTCGCAGCTGCATCGTAGTGAAATAGCGTCGCACTTTGGAAAGGACGTCTAGTATATGCAATTGTTTTCACCTTGGACTCAATACGCGTCCATATATTTTATTTCGATTACCTATATATTGTATTATTTAAATTATAAGATTTACATAATAGTTACAAAAAACTAATCCAGTTGCTTGTATCTTTGT